AGGATATCTCAAAGCTAAAAGTAGCAAAATGCTAGCCAGAAATGTCCGTCTAGCTAGAAAATAAGTTACAAAAGGCTAACTAAAAGCTAAAAGTAAGAAAAAGACCAACTTAAAGCCAAACAAGTAAAAGGCTAGTTAAAAGTAGCTAAAGGCTAGTTCAGAATGTTAGGCTAATTTTGAAGATAAAGGGATATCTAAAAGCAAAATGTAGTAACATGCTTGCTAGAAATGTCCAAGGCTATCTAGAAACTAAAAGTTACGAAAGGCTAACTAAAACCAGAAATAGCAAAAAGTTAGCTGAAACAATCATTCATTCATTCAACCTTTATTTAGACGAGTAAATCCCATTGAGCCTCGAGGACTCATTTACAAGAGAGACCTGATTTAACAAAGAAAGATGACAACAATAAACATTTATATTTATAAAAAGGCGTACAGATTAATTTTTTTACAAATAAGAAGGCAAAACGAGTAACAACAACAGCTATATTCTAAGGCGAATGTAGAAACTAAAAACAGGAACATGTCAGCATTGGTCCCTGCCAGGAGTCCAACAGGTTCTTAAAGCCACTTAGAGGTCAAAGGTCGAGAGCTTCAGGTCTTTTTACAAGATATTCCAGGAAACAGGAGCGGAGTAGGAGAAGGTCCTTTTGTCTAGTTCAGTCCTCACTGAGGGAACACTGCAGGTAATGATGTCCTGAGAGCGCACGCTGTAGCTGCACTCACACAGAGACATGTAGGAGGAGATGTATGAAGGCAGCAGACCAGGAAGTGATTTAAAGATGAAAATGTACCAGTGAGAGAGTCTGTGTGAAGTTAATGGTGACCAGTTAACCAGTGAGTACTGGGTGCAGTGGTGGGTACGGTAGTTACAGCCAGTTATGAATCTTAGTGCACCATGATAGACAGCATCCAACATCTGCAGCATCCAACATCTGCAGCATCCAACATCTGCAGGGTTCTTGTAGGAGCGTTCATGTAAATAATGTGATCAATGGAGGGAAGGAAGGTCACAGATACAATCAAAAGGTTTGTAAAAGCTAAAAATACAAACAATAAGGCCAAAAGGCTAAAACCCAAAAGAAGCATAAGGCTACCTGAAAGCTAAAATGAGCAGAATAGTCAGTTTAAGCTGATAGCCTCATCTAAAGTAGCTAAACAGTAGCTGAAGGTTAACAGTGGCTTATGAAAATAAAGCCCAAGTTTACTGAAGCAGATTTTCATGAGAATAATGTTTTTAAAATGAAAGAGATCCTAATTTATTTTTATGGAATTGTTTTGTCAGTAAATCCTGCAACTCTTACCGAACACAAAGTAATTCACATGAAAACGTTAATATAAAGCTAAAACTGGATTTATCTTTTGAGCAATGAAAAAGCTGCAAACACGAAGAGGAAAGAAAAGAAGCTAAAAATCCTCCACAGATGGAAACTGTTGGAGCTGCAGAGCCTTCAGCTCGTGGTTTCAGCTTAACATCTGCCGTGCTCAGTTGTTTCAATCTGCTCCACAAAGCTCTTCAGTGAATCGGAGCTTCATCCAGAGCACGAAACTCAGATAACAGCTCGTTGACTTCGGCCCGGATCGCTAGCGGAGTGTTTTTCTGAGTACGTTTGGGTCGCGATGAGTCAACGGGGGATTAAATCTCAACCGAACCACTTCAGAGCTGCTTCCTGTCATTCACAGGTTTTTGTGTTTGCAGCTTCAGCGTCATGTTGTGTTGAAACTGAAGGTGTTTACGAGCTCATCGGGACAAAAAACAACTAGTTTTTGTGTATTTTCCTGTTTATTTTTAATATATTGCAGCTGTTGTCCATCAAAGATTTAATTTAATTAAAACGTTCATTTATTTAGAAACTTAAACCAAAAAGAAAATAGTTAAAACTGCAAACTGAGGTGGAAACTTTTCTCTCCAACTTAACTTTGAACATTCGTTGTATACTGCTGTGCAAAAGTTTCGAACAACCTGTAATATCTTTATATTCTGTTTCTCATGATCTGTAGAAACGGTCTCGGTCGACAGTTTTCAGGGGATCAAAGGTCAAACTGAGTGAACTAGCAGCCAAAATCCACTCTTTGGTTTTGGGGACATTATATTTTTTACCCAACATTTGGTTTTGTGTTTTGTAACAACAAAAAGTGTTATAACCGTTGACAAGCGTTGTGGATTGCAGGACGAGACGGGGGCCTACCTCATCGACAGGGACCCCACGTACTTCGGGCCCATCCTGAACTACCTCCGGCACGGAAAGCTGATCATGGATAAGAACCTGGCCGAGGAAGGTAAGGCCCCGAGACCGTGACGGACAGAGGCAGCTGTCGTGAACGCCATCGTCGCCTCTGACGGCTTTGTGTTTCAGGGGTTCTGGAAGAGGCAGAGTTCTACAACATCGCCTCCCTGGTGAGGCTGGTGAAAGAGCGGATACGGGACAACGAGAACCGGACGTCTCAGGTACCGCAGCGGAGCCGACCGGACTGTTCAGGTTCAAATACGACGCCCGTCAGTGTTTGGATGATGGATTGTGCTGCGTGTCCCTCAGGGTCCGGTGAAACACGTGTACCGAGTCCTGCAGTGCCAGGAGGAGGAGCTCACGCAGATGGTGTCGACCATGTCGGACGGCTGGAAGTTCGAGCAGGTGCAGAAAAAGCTGCTTCCTGTCACGTGTCGTTCATGCTTCACTTGTTTATCTTTTTATCAGCACGTTTTCTAAAAGTTCAGATTTTTTTGTTGTTTTTAAGCAGAAATGTAATTCCTGTCGTTTATCTCCCGTCTCTCCGTGCTCAGCTCATCAGCATCGGCTCGTCGTATAACTACGGTAACGAAGACCAGGCGGAGTTTCTTTGTGTCGTTTCCCGAGAACTCAACAACTCCACCAACGGCATCGTCATCGAGCCCACCGAGAAGGCCAAGGTGAGCGCGCCGCTGGTGGGTTCTTTTGGAACCAGATCTGTGCACTCGGAGGTCTGCTCGCACACGGTACCCCTCCAAGTACGCCCGACTTTCTTCAAAAACAAGCTCCTCCGTTTGAAACGGACGCTCGCTGCTACAGAAAACCTCATGTTTCATCTTCTTCGTTGCAGAAGCTAACTCTATTAGCTTAGCATCAGGTGTGGGAATCTTTAGGCACCTCGCAGTTTAATTATGATTCAGAGAGAAATTATAAAATAATTATCAGTGCATTTCAAATATCTTGACACTTAAACCACCATGACCTAATTTACATGAATAAAAACAGATTTATGTTTATTTATGTTGTTTAAAAACAAATGTCTTTAGCGCTGATGCTAGATCAACATTTAAAACGCCATAGAGCAGCTAACGTGATTAGCATCGTGTTTATCGCAGAAACTTTGCACACAGTTCAAACGTTTGGCACTTTACTGAAACCAGTCGTGTCCTGGTGGCTTTAATTATTATTTACAGACTGAAAATCTTCAGGGTTTAGGTGAAAAAGAAGAAACAAACGCTTTACTTGTTTCTACTACAGGAAGTGATGTAACTCTTGGAGTGTTCAGCCTCTTCTGCTTCAACAGCGAACCTTAGAAATATCCAGACGAACTGATTTATTTTCACTAAAAGTTTGAATAAACTCTTGATCAAGTTAGTTCGGACTGGTTTTGGAGCTGACTGGACCCGCTGTGGTCTCCATTTCTTAAACTGCTTCCAATCAGTCGCTCAACAGCGACGTTGTGTTCGCAGCTCTCCGTTAACGTTTTCCTGTGACAAAGAAGTCATGACGTGTGGCGTGCCGGTTGTTTTGCTTTTGTTTACTCGTTCGTTCTCGCTACAAACAACAACAAGAAGAAGCGGGCGTGTCTCTGAGGGTTTGTTGAGTCTTCAGGACAGCTTGTGTGTTTTCTCAGATCCTGCAGGAGCGAGGCTCGCGGATGTGAAGAGACGCAGACGTCGAGAACAAAAAGCACACCTGAGTTTTCATCCACCGCCGTCACTCCACCTCCTCTCCTCCGCCGGGGCTCCCCGACACCTGAAACCCGACCCTGGCTCCTCGTTTCTTCTCCACCTTCAAGAGAAGACCAGCGGGAGGTTCTCCTCTCCGCAGCGTTTTCTTACTGGTTGGTGTCGTGGCAGTTCAGGTCCTGATGCTGGTTTTGTGGATGGCAGCATTACATCATCTCCATTTGATCTTCATCAGTCGTATCGGAGCGGACTCTGTTTCTCTTTTACACATTTGGCTCGGTTCGTTTAGCAGAACGCGCCTCAGGATCTTCGCAGAGCGAGTTCAAGCTTCTGAGCCGGACTCTGACGTGGGCGCAGCGGACTCTTTTGGGCTGACTGAGGAGGAGACCGCTCAGTTTCAGGACTCCCCACCTGTGCTCTGGCTCAATCCGATCTCTGAGAATCTGGGATTATTTCCACACAAACAGACTTTAGCTCCACTCGTGCACAAGCTCTCCAGGCATGTAAGGAATCTATATTTAAACACATTTAGGCTAAAATTATATGGAAACATTGAATGCAAATGGTGTAATCACAGATTTTGTATCATAGTTGTCATGTACTTCCTGTGGGTGAGTCTGTTTACGACAACAACAAAAAAATCATTTTCTCGAAGCGTTAACGTGGGTTTGTGTCGCAGTGCCTCTGCTTTCCGTCCACGACTGAAATCTGTTTTCAGCTGCGCGGTTTCTCTAGTTTCTCATAAAAAAAAAGAGTTTATCTTACGTTGATTTATTGCATATCTTAAAATTGTAATTGGGGATAAAGAAGCGTGTGTTGGGGTCACGTTCGCTGCTGCTGCGTGCGTTCACTCGTCACATGAAACACCCGCTGGTTGTTTTACAGCCTGCAGCTTAAAGCATTACAACCTGTCAGTGAACGCACCGCGGCGGGCCGTCGTCGGCATCACCTGGCGCTCGAAGCTTTTCTTTTAGAAATGTGACCCATCGAGACGTTATCGACTCTTTTTTTTTTTTTAATCCACCGCTCGTTCATTTCCACATTTCAGAATCCCTGCAAACATTTCTGACTTTCCACTGATGGAAACTTTCAGATTTCTCACTTTTAATATTTCAGAAGTGCATCTTCAAGTATTTTGTGAAAGTTACAAAACAAATCTGCAAAAACTTTCATTATTTATGACACATTTTGTTCATTTTTCAAACGGACATATCTGCTGTTTTCTTGTTTCTTTATTTATTTGTCGCCCACCTTTCATTGTGGTGGGTAATCATGTTATTGTGTGCTTGTCTGTTAGCTAAATATCTCCAGAACCACAGGGCAAATTTTAATGAAACACTTGGATTTAAACCTAAAACCGATTAACGTTTGGAGTCGGCCTGATTCAAGATGGCCGCCACAGCTAATCATCACCAACACATAAACGGCTGTAAGGTGGTGACATTTACAGATGTTGAGTTGAAGTTTGGTGTGGTAGTAGCTGAGAGTCATCCTCAAAACATAATTTGAGAGCTAACAGACGGCGCCAGCAAGGCTGCTTTTATTTAAACATTTAAATTCAATAAATTAGCAGCTCCTTCAGAATAAGAGCCACCTCAAAGAGGGTTTATTTATGCTTTATAAACAGGTTATTTATACCCTTTATAAAGCATAAATAAATATTTATTAAACACTAAATCAGGCTAACTGTTAGTGCAGAACTCTGATTCTTTCAGGTGTTTGTATCAACATCAATAAACACTACATAAAGGGGCTCTTATTGTGAAATTTGTTTAAAAGGTTCATGAACTTTTCAAAATTCACACAAATATCTACATTTCTATTTAAAACGTATCAATTCTGCACGTTTTAAATCTCTTGGCTCGGTCGTTTTCATCTTCAGCTCCTCGTTTAAACTTTTTTATTGATGCCGATTTTTATTTTCTTTATTAAAATAATTCTAAACGGCTCGGTGAGAGTCTAAACCTGCACATGCATCGATAAACGTCTAAAGCCGGAGCATTTTCACCAACCGACTGATTAATTGGTCACTTTTAAATAATCTTGCTGTGGCCACGTCCGTTTAATTTCATTAATAATCAAGTAGGAAAATGAAGATGCAGCAGCCGCTCACACTTTAGTTTTTATAAGGGTTGTTAAATGCACATTTATTCATGATGAGCTATTATTTTGTTAAATAATGAATAAATATCGACCCAAAAAATAAAAAGTTTCATATCAGCTAAAATCTGCATCCGCCCATAAATAAAATGAGCCGAGCTCGACCGAACCTTCTGCAGACGCTCTGTTGGACGAACGAGCGCAGAACTTTAATTTTCTTTTAAAACTTTTATCAGCGCCGCCTCATTATTTCATATCGGCTGTTTTTAAAATTCTATGATTTATTTATTTGTGCACATTTTAATCGTTTCTCCTGGAACTTGAGGAGCTCGTTTCTCGACGTCGCAGATATTTACTGACGTGTATTTTTTTGCATCGGTCACTTTGATATTTCATCTTTTGTATAAAGAACGTGTTTGTTGTGTTTAAAACGGGCACGAAGAAGAGAAATGAGCTTTGCTGTGGAAAAATGAACCTGAAATCATCCAGAGCTCAACGTTGTGTCTTTTTCTTAGTTTCCCCTTTCTCTGTGTTGTGTAGACGTTTTGTAAGAAGAGAAGTTCTGAGCAAGCGTGCTGCCACCCAGACATTTCTTCTTCCCTGGTTGTTCTGCGGGTCCTCGCAGAACCCTTTGTTGTTTTCCTCCGTCTGTGCTCGGTGTTGTGCTTGTGACCCGTGTCGTGCTCATTTGTGCGCCCGTCTTATCAAAAAGGAGCCTCTCGGAGCTTAAAGCGCTGGTTTCCAAAGTCTGGTTTGGGACCCCACGGTTGGTCCTGAGGTGATTTGTAAAAATAAATAAAAATTTAAAGAGCATTGCTGCTCTAATTATAACAAACGGAGGTCATATATTTATTAAAACAACACTTTATTGTTGTTTACGCTGCTCGTGCCGTCGTTGTGTTGTTGTTCACCTCCACCAGTGATGGAGATGTTCTGCTGCTGTTGTGGGTCAGAACCTGAGAAGTTTGGGAACCACGGCCTTTAAACAACAAGAGGCTTCTACTAAAAATATCATGTGCATCGTGATCTTTAGCCCCCCCACAAAAAAAAAAACAAAAAAAGTGAACCCTCACATAATTTTAAGTTCCATTTCTATATTTACAAGCAAAAAAATAAGTAAATCATGGACCTGATCCACTCCTGGAGATATGTTGGTGTTCATATCTGCTATAAACCGTTGGCTGGAAGTTTTGTGTTTGAAGAGTCTGAGCAAAACAACAACAACAACGAAAGAGTTCTGCTTGTGTCTTAGTAAAAGTCCAGCGGTGCACTTATTAACGAGAATTAATTTGGTCATTGTTTACTGAGTCGCATGCCGAAGCCGCTTCCACAACATGAACTTTTTGACGTTTGTGTTTAAACTTCTTCTTGTACGTTTTATAAACCCACGTTTGTCCGAGCTTGGTTGCAGAGTTGAGTGGTTCCCAGCCTTGGTGTTAAAAAACGAAAGGGAAAGTTGCTCATTTTATCCTTCTTTACAACATCTGGGTAAACGTGTTGTGAAATATTATATATTAACCATCACGGGGCTAAAAACGTGAATATTTTGGTTAATGTAAAAAATAAAAACCGTTAGCCTGTACACTAATCTAACGTTATAAATATGGTAAAGAATAAAAACCGTTAGCCTGTACACTAATCTAACGTTATAAATATGGTAAAGAATAAAAACTGTTAGCCTGTACACTAATCTAACGTTATAAATATGGTAAAGAATAAAAACCGTTGCTGGAATGTTTCACGAAGCACAAAATGTGTCGGAGCACGTCTTTAATGAGCTCTTACAAATTTAAATGTAACTTTTCAGCTCTTAATTCAATTTTGCCCTTAACCACAGTAGAATTTTTTTTTTTTCAAAATATTTCAGATTTATTTATTTGACTTGCTTTATTTTTCTTCCTTTATCTAAAACTATAGGAACATTTATTAAAAAAGGAAGAAATATGTAAAAAAAATCACTTTTGATAGACCGCCCCATGCTCAGCACTGAGATGAGTTAAAGACTTTAATAAAATAAAATAAATAAATAAATGCCCAACTCTGTTTGTTCTGCAGAGAAAAGCTCCAAAAAACAACGACAGAACTACGACCTTACAATTCCTACAATTATATAAATTAATTGTGTGATAACATTCAGTCATTTAAATGTTTCTATAGTAATTATTTGCAACAATGGAAATGTTTAAGAGAGTAATTATAATATTTTGACTGCCAGCAGCCGTTATAATGTCCCACACTTCACTCTTGGTGCTATTAAATGAAAATTAGCATTTGTAGGATAACTTTAGCAGTTAGCTTAAAGCAGACTTGTTCCCAAACACAACCTCCTGCTAACAGTGTGGCTGCTCTTATTAACAGTTTACGCATCGTGTTTGTTAAAAATAACTACAGCGTGGCTGCTCTTATTAACAGTTTACGCATCGTGTTTGTTAAAAATAACTACAGCGTGGCTGCTCTTATTAACAGTTTACGCATCGTGTTTGTTAAAAATAACTTTAAATTTGTGTCAGGGTCACAAGCTGTTAAAATGTTAGCATTCTGCTCAAAAGCAGCGCTAACACTAAACAGAGCCTCTTAACAATTAGGATGACTCAAATATTTTTTGTAAAAATCTGCTGTTTCTTTTTGAGGCGCTTATAAAATATTTGGAGACAATAAAAGTTTTAGATGTTTTGCACATAGGGCTCTTTAATCTGGTAATGTGCCAACACCTTCTGTGTGTTAGCTATCTGATAATACCTTTTAGCCAAAGGCTATTTTTTAACGACTTTAAAAGAAGTGTCTCTTTTGACTGACTGGTTTGTGGGTTTTAGTAATAAATTATTGTTAGCAATGTTAAACCGTAAAAAACAACACATGCTGCTTAGCAACATTTTCTTTAAGTATACGTTAGCATCTTGGGAAGCTAATATTAGCATTCTGCTCAACTAATGCTAACAGTAGTGAGCTAGTGTTAGCGTTCCACTTAAAGATGTTGCAATGTTAGCATTCTGATGTTAGTAAGCAGATGTTAGCCTATTGTCCAAAGTTGTTTTAATGTTA